TGATATGAAGGAGATGAGTGGGAGAGAAGAGTGGAGAAGAGTGGAGATGAGATGAGATGAGATGAGATGAGATGAGAGTTTGGAGAGACAGTGAGAGAGAGGCCCGGATGTTGGCCCGGAGAAGGCACGCCTGCAATTTCAGCAACAACACAGAAACCGCCACCAGTCACTGCGGCGAGAACAACACACTGCGCCTTACGATATTCCGTTTTCATTCACCGTCAGGAAGAGGCAGCAGTGAGTCTCCTGCACTTGGAAACTAGAGAATTGAGAAATCGAAGGAAGAGCAAGCGGGGCTATTATGGTAGTTCTTCCAGATGGTTTGGTTTACTTCTCCCTCACAGCTGGCTGTTTGTATTTAAGAAGCTGCTAACGTGCGTGTCATAGACTGAAATTGCCTAATATCAACGGTAGTGCCGCTTTTTGTATATATGACACAGCGTCTTTGGTTCCCGATGGAGAGAGAAGGAAAGGATACCCACCCTTCTTCATCTCGTCTAATGGAGAGAGATAGAGATACTCTTGCTTCGGCAGCCAGGAAATACATAACCAGAGAGGTTTCTCCCTCAAAACCTCTTTAAAATCAAAAAAGAGAAAAAGAAAGAAAGAAACAAGATCGAAACCTACATAGCTCAACCATGTCAGGCAAAACATTATAACTGGAGCATGAGAATCACTCCCGTGGCCAAAAAAGAAACTAGCCTCAAAAACCAGATAACCATAGCTTTAGCAGCCAAAGCACCAAATATGGTTATTATTTGGCAGACAAGAAAGAAAAAACAGAGATAGCTAGATAGAGTAGGTTCGAAAGGGACAAAACCTCCTTTCAGGTCGAATTGGGTATAAAACTCTCTCCGCATATTTAGGAAGCAAGAGGGCTGCGCGGAGGTCACCTCTCTACCACCAGTTCTGTCCTCGAAGTTTTGTTAGATAGATAATCCTGCTCTTTAACGTCGTTAATATACCATTGCCGGGTTTGAGGTAGGGTTGGCAGCCCCTTTTCTCAGTAAAAAGGTTAACCAGTCACAACCAGACGCCGACTCTCCCATCTCCAGATCCTCAACCTGTCTATCAATAATATTGCAACAGAAGAATCAACGCTCACAGCGTTCCCGGTAACCCCGTACTGCCAGCCACACCCTGTTCCAACCCACACCGGAGAAGACGGAGGAAGATAATATTCTGAACAGGCACCAGCCAAGCCAGCCACGGCGGACTAACTGTGTAGCTAGGGAGACAAAAAAAAAAAAAGAGAAAAAAAATTGTACAGAGTAATGCCTAAGGAAGTGCGGGATCTGCAGATGGAGGGGCTCCGTACGGAGTACTTTCCCGAGCAATCCGAGAAACCAAACCGATTCACTGCAAGTTTCCTCAACATGCGTGGTGAAAATTTTGCGGGCCCAAAGCAATTGCATATTTGATGGAAATTACTTCGGCAAATATTTTCTTGCATCAGATGTCATGTGATCATACAATGCTGGTCTCACCTACCTCAGAGTACATGCAACTGTTATATAGTGAAGGATACTCCTTTAATTAGTTATTATGAAAACGAAAGACACAGCAACAATCGATAAAGGTTATGGATATATAGAGTAAAAGAAGCAAATGAAGTTTTAAAAAAAAAAAAAAAAAATTCGGTAATAAACGGAGAGACAAGTTTAGAAGATAAATTCTATGAAACCCCCTACTTGTACAGGGTAGACATAAATAATTATATATATCCAGAAATTGGAAAGCGCGGATTGAGCAGAGAGCTGGTAGACGTAGAAGAAAAAAAGAAAAAAGAAAAACGCAAAAAGGATTGCAATCTATGATCAGAACAAGGGAGACAACAAGAACTAACCTTGTATAATAAAAGCATAAACAAGACAAAAAAGCAAAGTAAAGAAAAGAAAAGATTGAGGAAAAAGATTACCCCAAATGTATCCATGCATACCATACCATGCTATACCATGCGCATGTCATCAGGGTGCTTTTCCACTTCAACCCACACTACAAAGGAAAACCAAAGAAGCCACGAAATCCCTAAACCCCTCACTCCGCCCCTCACTCCGAACTCATGACCAAACATCCTCCTGATATGACCCATTGTTCCGCATATGCTTCACAAGCTCCTCGCCCTTCTCCGGCGCCAGCCCGCGCTGCTCCGCAATGATCTGACCAAGGACCACATTTACCTCACGCGCCATGTTGGCAGCATCACCGCAGACGTAGAAATTAGCCTTTTGGAGGAGGAGGTCGTTGACAAGCTTGGCATGTTCGCGCAGCTTGTGTTGGACGTAGACCTTTGTGGAGGTCTCACGGGAGAAGGCGGTGATGATTTGGAGGGAAGAGCCAAGTTTTGACGATAATTCCTATTTGTTTTGTAGATGGTTGTAGTGGTCAGTATGGCAATCTTTGCAAATCTTTTTTGATTGGGAGATTGGACCGGGAGGGTCGCGATGAAAGGTTTAATGGGTTTGGATTAAATGATTTTTGTACATACCTCCCACTCGTCTTTATACAAGAAATCCTCCTCGCGCTTTCTGCAGCCGTAGAACAGAATAGTTGGGCCGACGGTATCCCCCCTCTCAAGCTGTGCGGCACGCTCCTGAATAAACCCGCGGAATGGCGCGACACCGGTACCAGGCCCAACCATGATGACCGGTTTGGCCGGATCTGACGGGAGCTTGAAGTTGGAGTGGCGCACATGGACGGGGACATGGATGCCGTCATATTTGTTTCGGGGCCCATTGATGGCGTACGTTAAGCCGTGCGGGTCCGGGTTGGGGTCACCATGTTGCTTCTGCTTCAGGGCCAAGAGATAGTTTGTCGTGACACCTTTGAGATTGTGCGTCGCGCCTGGGATACGGAGGGACTCCACGATGGCGGTGACGCTTATCTTGTTCTTTTGTAACAGGGAGGAAGACGAGATGGAGTAGTATCGCGGTTGGATTTTAGGGATACCTTCGATGAGCAGGGAGAACGGGACGTCTGAGAACGGTAACGAGGTGACGCTTTGCAGGGCTTGAGCAATGTTCATATACTGGCTGGCAATCTTCTCTTGGAAGTAGTCCTTGTCGCTTCCTAATCGTTTCAACTCGTTGCGCGAGGATTCGTCTGGGGCGAAGGCTGCGAGAGAAGCGACGAATTGACGAGATACGGGACCGCAGATTTCCATGTGATACCTTATGACGGCGTCATACGTTGTTGGGGTAGGGAAAGGAACCTTAGCAGTGACGTCCAGAGGCTTGATCTTGATAACCATATTGCGCTTATCTGTAATTCCAAAAACGGTTGCGAACCGGTCTACCTCTGCTCCGGCATTAGTGGGCCAGATGGCAATATGGTCGCCGGTTTGGTAAGACAGTTTGCTTCCCTCAATATTAATTTCCATATGTAGGCAGTTGCGGTCCTTGACGGTAAAGAGCTCCCGAGACTCGACGATGGGAGCAATGAACGGGTTGTGTGCGTGGTATGGTCCTTTCTGCTGGCCTTCGAGGTGGTTCTGGTTCGGTTCTCCGAGGTAGACATGGTCGGCCTCGGGAGACGTTTCTGGCTCTTCAATAACGGAAAACACTGGTTCGTAAACGGCCTCTCGTTCTTCCAAGTTCATTTCCTCTGATAGAGCCTTCCACATTGGTTCTTTCCAGGCCAGATAATCTTCTTCCATCGTGCCCGCACCGTCATCACCTTCGCCAGCTTCTCCGATTCGTTTGGCCCCGAGTTTCCGCATAGTGGCATCGACATTTCTTACCATCGAGTTGAAGTGTTCATAAGTATTATTTCCTAAGCCAAATGCGACATATCTGGTGGAAGAAAGAGGACTGTCATCTGGTCCTCCGCCACCCTCAAATGCGACATCTTCTCCCGTAAGGAATTGGTAGAAATCCACAGCGTTATCCGTAGGCTCGCCTTCGCCGTAGGTGGCCAAAACGAAAAACATGACCTTGGCTTCGGGGAACTTATCCAGATTCTCATAGTCGTAATCTTCCAAATCAGCAACCATTGTCTTGAGGCCGAATCGCTGGGATCCCTCCTTGGCCAGCCGAGAGGCGTAGTCCTCTGCGGTGCCGGTCTGGGAGCCGAAGAAAATCACACAGTTCTTGCCGGTTTCGTTTAGTTTCTCGATGATATCTCTTGACGCTCCAGCTTTCGAACCATTTGCGGCCGCAAAGTTCGTTGCATAAGGGTCCTTGGTAAAACCCCATAATGAGCCCTTTGTGAAATAAGCGACGGTACCAACGAGGATGGCCATCAAGACCACCATGTCCAAAGTATCGACTGAGGCCATGGTGAGGAAGTTGGACACCAGACGATGTCAAGAAGAAGACAGAGAGAAGAGAAGCAAGAAAGAAAGGGGCGGGGGAAGCGAAGCGGAAAGGAGACCGGGTAGGCGGCAGAGAAAAGGCAAATTCGGTTCCTGAGCAACGAAAAATAAACAATTGTCAGTTCGATGCATCTCCCATAAGGTAAGAAAGGGGAAAAGGTATTCTGAAAATAGGTGTGAAAATGGTACAAATAAAATAGTAACGCACTACGGAGAAGTTAGTTAGTAAAATAAAATTAATCAACTAAGTCTGATTCAAAAACGGATCTCAGGCGACACTGAAATCGCCGGAATGTCCTCCGCACCGTGACCGGGAGATCCGGTGAGGGAACAAAGGAAATAAACGGCGATGGCCAAGGACAAGACGAGCGGGATTCTTTATTTCCACCGCCTACTGCTGCGCGATCAACGAATGGAGAGGTCGATAGTGTGCTGCAGTTGGGTGATGCGGAGGAGTTGTTGTTGACTCCTGCGAAACCGGGAGTAACTTTCTGCGAACCCGTTGTTTGGGCCGCGATCCGTGCCTCGGCTAGGCCAGGGTTAGTAAGGGCCCTGAGGCTGTTCTCAACCTGCGAAATATTGCAGCGAATTTTGTGGGTTTGTGTTTGGAAAAAGCCACCAAATGTCGACCATACAATCAGTTCGCCTTCTCTCGATACTCATCTATATATACTCTTCTTTTCCCAGCCTGCTGTTGCTCGCCAGATTTATAATTGTATCAGCGCCACTGTCCCGGGCGTGTTTGCCAAAAAAGACATGACAGCATCCACCAAGTGTTTGCGGGAAGCAGATAATCGTTAATGGGGCTCTGTCCATTGATTTTAGCTCTATACCCTTGCTTGAGGATACCACGAGAGTGGAGGGCGAGAGAGTTACGTATGAAAAGAGGTACACGAAAATTAATACAATCCTCATCAAGGACAGCGATTTTCCCAATGTCCCGCGAGCTGACTACCACGCCATGCGGCATGGGCCATGGAGCGACTGTTTGCCTATCGAATTCGGCCACGGTACTGATCATCCGGAGACTGTGTTCAAGCTGGCTGCCTGGAAGACCAAACGCGTACATCGTGATGCTACGTTTCTTTCTAGGCTAGTAAACAGTGATAATATTGTCCGCTTGGTGAGCATCGTGACCGTCGAGGGTCGTTTCGCTGGGTACGGAATGGACCTACTCTACGAACTTCGCTCTCCTCTTGGTCCTACGACGGAACGGCTGAAGGAGATGTTACCGGACTTTATTCAGGAGACAGTCGAATACCTCCATCAAACTGCCCATATATACCACTGCGATATTAGGATGGGTAATATCATGGTAAATGGACAGGGTAGGTTGAAACTCGTCGACTTTGATATCGCGGAAATAGATGTATCGGTTTCCCCGCGCACCTACTTCCCTACCGCCCAGTTCTTTCTTGGTATCTGCCAGAGGCTCGATTACCTTGACGTAGGTATGTCCGTCTTCCCTATGTTTATGGTGTTGTCGGATACGCGTGAAGAGATACCCGCCAACGCCCTTGACCCTTTGAATTTCTACATCGACAATAACCTCCAACGCCCAGCTTACTTTCAACATGTACAAGACACGGTTCAAGGGAAGCTGCGGGCACACCTGGAATGTCCAGATGCGGAACTTTCCATGCCCTACAATCACGGCGAATGCTGACACGTTGGATACCTGTGCAAACTGCTGGAGAAAATAACACATGACTGTTCCTCCATCATAGTGCCCATGGTAATAACTGCTTGCCTACTTTACCCCACTTCTTCAAATGCTATTTGAAACTTTTACTGGAGGCGGATTATCCCGACATTCGTTTTTCTCTCTGTCCTCTACGATCTTCGACGGTGGAGACCGCTTCGTTCACTGCGGAAGAGGGAACCGGTATGGCTAAGGTTATTGCTGCGGTAGCTAGGAGGGCGAGGACGGCGGAAATGAGGTGGAGCTTCATTTAGTATTCTTATGATCGACTGGGTTTACATTTTTACCCTTCAGGCAAGTTGGGTCGTGGTTCCGTGTGGAGGATCTCAGTTTTGGATCCGTCTTTCCTACTGCGGCTTCAATTCTCGGGCTTTTATACCTGGTCGAATAAGCGGCAATACCTCATCTCCTTTAATGGAGAAGACTCTGCTACCTTTTTATGTTTGTACGAGCGCTCCATGGTGCCAACACCGCGGTTGCTGGTGAGAAGTGGAAGCCATGGGCCACTTCACCTCGTCGTCTATAACCGAAGACAGGAACGATGCTTGTACGCAAACTCCCGTCGATTAGCCGGTATATTTGACCCATAAACACTCCTATCATCAACTTCTCATCTATGCACGCTCTAATGTTCTTCCCAAAACTCGGACTCGATCGTTTAAAATAACTAGATAATAGGCTTCTAAATCTCATAAATTCGGTTGCAAACGGTAAGTTGTGTTCGACATACGGCAATGGGCTCGCGGCCCATTTAACTGGTAGAGCCTGCTAACCCAATTTCGATCTCAGTCTAGGAGTGGTAGTTAGTTACTGGAAAGCGATGTTAGATTTCAGGGCTATGAAATTATAGCCAGTTCCGGCTGATTGGGAGATTCGTTTTTAGTAATAGCATAGATCACATCGACTAGAAAAATCTGAAATTATGGATTCGAACTTTGTAAAAGATAAGTTCATATAGTTATATCTAGTAGTTATCCAGGAGATTTCTGAACATGAAATTGAGAACACCAACCTCCACTATAACTACGCTATACCAAAAACTGCTGTTGACTTCCCCTCCTGCAACATTACTCGTATCTCCTTCACCAAGTGGACATGCTGAGGGGTTTTACAATGATACGTCAGCCGTCGGCCGCTTGTTATTTGACTCGCCATTTTCTTTGGACCCATCTTGCATCCAAATCGTCTCGTCATTGTGCACCTCACTCCACAGGCCATGCAATGACGCCCAAGTTGGCTCCCTGTCAGTCTTCGTTTCCTACAACATTTATCAATTAAATCATTTACAAAGACAAAGATGAAGGTTTTGATCCGCATACCTACACCGGCGGCCGGTGGCTTCGTCACGATAAGCTGGAGAGGGACTCGCGCTACATCAAATTCAATTTCAGCGCCCTTTGCCCGAGGGTTCTTGAGCTATGTCCTGGAGCTGAGTCGATCACAAGCTACCAGAAGACGGAAGGAGGCTTCAACAGGGTCTTTATTTTCACCCTGAGTAATGCCAAACGGGTCGTGGCTAGGCTTCCATTCACTCTGGCGGGCCCGTCGAAATTAGCCACGACCTCTGAAGTTGCCACGATCAAGTATCGCAACGCATCAAAATTGATAACCAACTCGTTCATAGTGCAAGCAAAGACCAGTATCCCTATACCGCCAATCCTCGACTGGAGCAATGATTCTACAAATTCCATTGGTAGCGAATATATTATCATGGAACATGCCGCTGGTGTTCAGTTACACAAACAAATGGTCAGATATGGCGGCTGATCAACAAGTCAGATGCATAGATGCGATTTACTGGAAGGCTAAAGAAGTGGTTGACATATTTAGAATTTCCCGCTTTCAGGAGCCTTCTTTTTTTGTCGATAGTCCACTGGATTCTGGTCACAAAACTCCTCTGGACGAGATGTTTTGTATCGGACCTCACTACGGATCTCGGTATTGGGATTGCAATGTTAATGAGCTGAAATATTATCATAACAAAAACCTAATAATGGCCCCATGTAAGTCTTAAGGCTCTGGACAACTTTGATCAGTCCGCTTACAAGTCAACCTAGGGGACTAAATCTTGACCACTATTGTGACGGTCCTCATTGATGCTGGTCTCTCAAGGATCCCACCCAATCGAATACTGAGCTTGAGAAGCGACCCCAGTTTTCATGGATCTACTGAGTTGCACGTCAACCTCTTGAAATACACCCGCACCGTCCTGAAGAGAATGTCTACAGATTCTCAAGTCCAGTCTGGTGCTACTCCAATGCTCTGTTCCCACCCCTGATCTACATAAACGGAACATATTTGTGTCGGAAGATGACCCTTCTATTGTGACCGGTATTATTGATTGGCAATCGACCAGCATCGAGCCGGCTTTCTGGTATGCGGATGAAGTACCAGATTTTGCCGAGCCTGGAAGCCTATGCGCCAAAACATTTGCAGTTTGCTCCCAGGTTCTCACGCCAAAACTTTCTGGCCCCAGGCTGATGGATGAAAATACTTTTCGACCGTTTCACTACAGCTACAGGACATGGAAGGACGGCGCCGTGGCTCTTACCCACGAGCTAATTGAAACTTCCCGAAGTTGGAAGGAGTTAGGACTTGCAGGTTCCAGCCCATACCCTCTACCTACACAAAAAGAACTACCGGATCACGAGAGAGAGTACAGGCTTTTTGTAGCAGCCCAGAATTTGAAACGCGATCTGTCTAGCCTTCTCAACACCGCATCCGATGGATGGGTTCCTCTAGAGGATTGGGAAGAAACTAAATCAGGCCACCGGGAAGATTTTGACAGTGTGTTGAATGCTGTATTGACGAATGACGACTCAGACTATGACGGGCCAGTAAAAGACGAAAAGGTCTTAAGATCAATCTGGCCATTTGATCTTAATACTTAACTGCCATTATGGCCGAAGATACGTAAATAGGAGGCAGAGAAGGCCAATGAAGGAATAGACACTGTCTTTTCTAGTCGCTACTGTTTTGCCATCTGAATTAGAACGAATGCAGGAGAGTGAAGAGGGTTTGGGAGACATTTAAGTTTGGTGTACTGTTATCTTGGCTTCTGAACCGCCCGGTTTTTGCCATCCTGTGCTCTGCCTCGAGCTTACCACCAACCTTCGAATTGGAGTCGTAGAATCATTATCAATCATTGACTTTCATCTCAAATGTACGTCACAATGTCCGTGTCTAGTCACTCACTTCGTACAAGTGGTCATTGACGAGAAACTATTGTTTTGGAGGAAAGGGAAGGAGGCTCTCATGATGTTTGTTGATCCAGTGCTTATTTAAATCTAGAAACTAGCACCTTCGGTTGTGAAACTTCAAGTATCAATGAGGGTACTCTCAATGACATCAATAACTCTTCCCCTGAGCTCTTGTTGTAAATGACCAACCAACCAACCCGTCTCCACAGGCTTATATCAAAAGATTCTCGATATGGCTTGCAAGGAAGACAATCTTTACATCACATATCCTTCAGCCGGCTGAGTACACTGTCCAGGTTCCGTCCAGTAGTGCTCGCGTTCTCAGCAAAATTTGCTACAGATATTATCAATCGGTATCCATAAGACAGAAAGGATTTGATGACTGGATCGTACCATCAAAAGTTCCATCTAGAACTATCTCATGAATCTTCCCACTCAAGAATAAAGTTGCTGGGCTTGTACTTGGCTCTGTTTGACGAGGGATCTGACTTGGGATATAGAGACGGGGATAACTTGATGATTCTAGCATTAAAAACAAACTAGTTATTAGCACTGATTATACAACCACTCACTCACTCACTGATAACTTACCAAACCCAAAGTGTTGTGAATCATGGAAAAAAGTAAGTTTACATCTATCTTCAGCATTAACTTAGCTGCAGAAGCTGATGTAACAGAGCTGGCAGCGTGGAGTGCACTTCCAACCCCTAGATCAACCAAAACATAAGTTTCTCCTAGATTGCTAATAACAACAGGCACCTTCCTAGTAATCAGATTTCCTTTCATGTCATGGATAATGAAACCCGTTGTGACCCGATGAAAATACCGTGTGGTATGAGCACTTCTGGTGTAGTGTACGGAGGAGAAGTGCCGAGAAGCACTGCGAAACACGTCGAATTGGATTAATTGAAGACTCAGGTCAGTAAAGGAACAGAAAATTATTTCGCATTTGAAGCGTACAATGAGCTCAATAGGTCGCAGAACACATTCGCATGCCAGCCCTCCACCTATATCTGACCTTCTCGAGTCCACCCCGCAGAGACGCGCGTCCTACGAAGAGCTACTCGGGAATCAGATAAGGGTGGTGTACAACATCAAAACTTGGAATAATAGTTTGCCAACATGGCAGCGCTCTTGACGAGTCTTCTTCTGCATGGTCTGGATGCAAGCCCATCACATTGCTGCAAGGCAGGCGAAACAGAGGCAGGCGAAAATGCTTTATTTGCACCGAACTGTCAGGGCGTTACCTTGGCTGCTATCATTATTGAGCTCTAGTACCTTATGGTTGCCGGGTGCGGCTGTATGGCCCGTGGCTTCCTCCGCGTATGTTGGTTTGCAGTGAAAGGCTGGTTACTGCTTGGATTTTCAGTATCACACTTCCCCTCTGACAGCAAGAAGCTGACAGCTGAAGACTATCATTAGCGGCTCCGCGAGGAGAGTTGAGGTGACAAGAATGGTGAATTTGCTTAACATATGCGATTGTTTCAGTTTGTAGACAGTGAACTTTTTTCATCAACTATCATGCAGTTCTCTATCTTATCACAAGTGGAGACTTGCACCACCATGACATCCACCGTAGCCTGGTCTGCATTCCAATAGATGAGTGACTCTATTGATTAGCCTCATTCAAGGATTCTTTACCCACAAAATATTTTCAGTTTGTCTGACAATACTTTGAGCCAGGGGCAGAAATCTGAGCATAGCTTCAGAGAATCCCACCAACAAATAGAACCCAGCAGCCTGTGATGAATTGCCAATATCTTCCCACAACAGTCAAATCCTCAAAGATGAGGTGTAAACTGGGCTGATTAGAGACATCGTCTTGAAAGTCTAGTTCTAAGAAGCAAAGTTAGCAAATATCCCCTTCTTCTTCACCTTTTTTTTTTCCATGAGGAGAGAGGAAACCGGGGTATGGACTCAAGTACAAGCCATCATTACAAGGGCGGCCATGTGATTCCTGCCCTCTATTACCATCAACAGAGTGTCAGAGCCATTTTGCGACTCTGTCCATCAAGTACATATCTGACATAACTGAGCTGTCATTTATTACCGTGGCGGAATTCAATAATCCTTTGTCAAACCCGTTTGGGCCCTCAATGATTGACTGCCTGGGAAGGCCAGTATTGAATGACAGTAAATATTGCATTTACCGGTTGAACCCAAGGTCAAGAATTGCAGATTTTGTGCATGATCTTGCAGACCAGGAGAATGTACAGAGGACAGAAAAATAGACAGCATAAGACATGGAAGGACCTGATAAGTCTGCAGAAATGTGTCTGGAGCTGACAGTGAAGAGCAATGCATGACAAAGTCAAGTACTCTCAGAAGTTTGTAATGATGTTTAGAAGCAGGCGGGCAATCACAGACATCATCCAGATTGATCACAATCATAGTGAGAAGTTTTCAGAAGCAATCAAACACAAGGTTAGGTCTGAAGAGTCAGTACTGCTGATGTCAATTATAGCCCAAGCGATCTCTTTATACTTGACCACTTTCTGACTGGTCACTTTCTAGTCACCTCAAAAGGGTCAAGAGGCATCACCAACAAAAGAGAACACTAAGACAGATCACACAAACAGATACCATTTCAGGCAGTATTTTTTCAATTGGACAAAGCAATTTCAACTAGTCATGTGTTCACACAGCCTGCTGGTGGATTCACCCGTCCCCCATACCGCGCCTCGCCGACAGAGTGCCATCGCAAAGGGCGGGACCCTGACAGGGTGCTGCTTGGCAATAGAAGAATCATCCTGTAAGGTCAGTCCACATCATAAATCCAGTAGCAAGAGCCCACCCAATGCAGTGGAAGGGTCAGTAGTTTCTGTGGAGAAGTGAGAGAGTGAGGCATTAGCAGATCACTATCTCAGAATAATAATGCATGTCCAGAAGACAGTGCACATGGCAATCAGCACCCAATACAAAAGCCAGCTCAGAGAGTGCCATATCATAACCTATCAGGTATTCAATGACATCACAAGATTGATCAAGTCCGTCAGTCAAGTCATATTCAGCATGGAAAGTGTCACCAAAGCACATATAGACAACATCTAGAGACATAGCAAAATTTTGAGGAGAACAGAGCATTTGTAGGCCTCTCAAGCAATGGGATTGTAACAACAGGGCAACCAAGGCAGACGGCTCAACCTGTAGCCAGACCAGTGGGGATGGGCGAGGAGCCGCCGACAACGAGGGTTTCAGATGGGCGGGGGTGCAGTGATGTGATCCGGAGATACCATATCGTTTCACCATCACGCAGTCAAGCAGATGGTCCAGGCGAGAAGAAAATGCAGCAAGGAGAGTCAACGGTGGTCGAGCGACGCAGCAAGTGTTTATATAGTTGGAGGGAAACAGCGGGGGCAGGCGGTCAGGGACGGCAGGACCCATTCTAGTTTAGCGCAGAATCAAGGCACACTAAACCCGAACAAGGGTAGGGAGCCGAAAGCGGCCACGTCGGCAGCCAATGACAATTGTCCCACGCACCGTCGTCAAAAGTATACAGCACTACGGAGTAGTCCAAGTATGTTTGATAGCAGCATGGCACGATGGTCCGTGAGAACTGAGTATGAGGCACTGAATTATGCGTTACACAGGCTCCAACCGTTCAATGGCCTTGGGTGGATCGGAGTTCCCCAAGGATGGACAGCAACTCAAGGGGATTGTTTCGAGCGGCAGAGAGAGGGTTGGTGGAGATGGCCATTCGCTGTTTCCGGGCGCTTTCAACGTCTCAGATGGGGGTGAAGCGGATCCACTCGATGAATTTTGTTCGTTAGGCCAAACCCGGGCTAAACGCAGCAGCCTCGAGGGGTTTTGTAAAAGTTGTACACAGTAGCATTTCGAAATGGCAGGTAGAAGAGCATGCACCACACTGCTGGATCCTATCAATGGGCCTGGGTCGAGTGGATGGTTCTGTTTCGTATTTGCATCACGATCACGGTGGGATGGGGCTAGGTGACGCAAGGACCGGAGTTCCATCCATCCCCCTTGGACGAGTCTATCAACGGCCAGGAATCCTAGCACCTAGCCAGCGGAGTTTCTCGATCTTCAATCCTATTCGAATCAGAACAGCGTGCATGAACCCGCATCAGCCTTGCTATAGCTCTTTATTGTTTGATTGTAGACTGGAGGCATTGGCCCTTTGTTTGTCCTGGCCAGCAACAAGCCCGGGCCCACCGCCGCCTGGTGCCAGCGTGAAGTAGACAAGAAGCCGAAAAAAAGCCAAGTCGGTCCAAGCCCGCGCTGGAGGCCTGGACATCTGAACTTCTCCTTGCTCCTCCTTCAACAACCCCAACGCGCTGTGCAGGTGCTGTGTGTCTTGGAATGGGCTGTGAAATCAACGATGCGAGGAGATAGATACTCCTTTGCTCCCCTCTCTTCTCACCGTTGCTAGAGGAGGCCGTTGAAGATGCAACAACATACCCGTGAGTATTTCTGAGGGGTCCCTGCCAAGCCAATCCCAGCGCTTGCTGTTGTTCATATGGGCGACTTTCTTACCCACTGGTCCAAACGTCCATGAAAACCGACATCATCCACGGATTACAATTTTCCTAGTGATCGTAGGTGCAAACAACGGCTGACTCTTATCTCTAATCCTTGTACAGCCAGTCCTCACCCGCTGCGGCTAGTCGTTGGCGGCCATGCGCTGCCCTACAGACTAGATGAGCCCGTTCTCACCACCTCCCAGCCGAATGTCCACTCCTCGTCCGACCGTTTAGCTTCCAGAAACCCTCCCGCGATGAAGTCCCATACTAGAGACCCATCTGCTGCCCGCGGGAGAGCTACCGACTCTTCTCCCGGTTCCCTTCAACCCCTACAACCGCAACCACAACCCCGGCTACGTACGCAGTCACACTCCAAAAGCCCCGAGTCCGTCGGTACACGATCAGCTACAAGTCTAGATGGCGAAGGCCTCGAGAGACGACCTTCCAATTCGGCATACGGACACCATCGCCAGGCCTCAATAGTCCATGGAAGCATCCAGCACTCGAGGAATGCAAGTTTCGCAGCTTCTTCCGCTAATCCCGGCCCTCTAAGCCCGGAAGGAATTGCTACTGCCGCATATGGGGTTTCCCACGCCCTTGATTCCCCTTTGAATGGAAAACGAGATCCTCAAGAATACTCTTCTGGATATACTGGGGCCGGAACCCCTGCCACTGGCCACATGCAGCCGGCGACCCTCACAACTATCCAGGATAATCACCAGGCTGAAATCGCAAGTGAGCCATCTTCTCAGCGTAAGGCAACTACAAGTGGGAAATCACGACGAGACCATTCTCATCATCCATCACATTCTTCCAAGCATTCACAAGAGGCGAGGACTGTTGGAGAATATGCCCTCCACCATCTGTTCAACTCGGTTTGTGTTCCTCTCCCTTAGGAGAAGCAGATATCTAAACGATTACCACTAATTATTGATATATACATTTCACAGTTCGTTGGTCAAGCGGATGAGAAAATAAACCAATGCATTTTAAGTATCGGTGAATTTGACACGCCCGTGGAGCATATTTGCGGCCCAGGTGCGGATCCGATTTTTGACCAACTCATTTCAGCCCTGGGCCACATTGCAAAACAAAAACCGAAACCCTTGATAGATACAATTATGGTTTGGAGAAAGGCCAAGGGAGAAGCTGCGACTGCGGCTAAACAAGCTGCCAGCCATGTAAGCTTTCCTGATATGGTTTTTTTTTAATCACATTTACAGGCTTCCCCTCGACCTGGCTAACCCAATGCGATAGGCAAAGCAAGCTCCCCCATTTGTGGCGGCTCTTTCGCGCCGCAATACTGAACCTACGCAACCGGGGCCTGAAAATCAAGATTCCAGCACGATGCCGAACAACTCACTCCTCTCTCCGGTATCGCGCCAAGAAGACGTAGTACTTGCTGAACGGCGTGCTACAGTTTCCATATACCTCGTCTGCCGCGTGTTGATCGAAATTTTCAACCAGAGCACGCTGCAAGCCATCACTACTGAAATGGCAGAGAGGTTAGAAGACATTGTTTTCGGACAATTAAAAACAGTCGATCCGGACCAAATTGCTGCATCGCCACTTCGAATGGCAAACTGGCGAATTTATGGCCAACTTTTGGGCATTATGAGCGAATCTAACTTTGACAGCGTTTCAAATAGATTCCTTGCGGAGCTGAGCCAATTTCAGAAGGATGATTTCAGATTAGCAACGACGAAGGAAGCGGAGACGAAAGCAGAGCTACTTGTATTTGGGATGAGGCATCTACAAATTAGGACATCCCCAGAGGATGCTTGGAGTAGGTCTTGTGACTTTTTGCTATCCGTGGCGAGATTATTCGTCAATTCGCACGGCCAGTCCTTGAAACAAGCATATTGTCAAATCCTCGAATCCTTCCTCCTACCAATTGCTGCGAATCTTTCCTGTGACCTTACATCACCCAAGTGGAGGGAACTTGTTGATCTCCTCGTTCCACGCTTATCTCAAATCCTCCCGAAACCTCGTCATTGGAATAGTGCATTTCCCCTTTACATACTGCTGTTATGCGCATCTCCCAAAGAAGCGTTCTATTCCCAGTGGATGCCTGTGATAACCAGTCTCCCACAAAAGCTAAAAGACAGGCCTTCGCGAGGGACTGCCCTGCAGGCAATCTGTCGATTGCTTTGGACTTACCTTTTTCGCTATCCTGATCCCCATAGCAACCCTCTTCGAAAAATAGATGAAATCACGCGAATTGCGCTCCCGGGCGGTAGGAGAACGTATTTAACCACGGAGACTGCGGTGGCAGAGCCGTTGACGCAACTGGTTCGGATGGTCGGCTATAAACATCCTGATATGTGTTTCAGAGGTGTAATCTTTCCGCTGGTTAACTCGGACCTCATCATGTCCGGCAAAGAATTGAAAATCGAACAAATGGAGCCGGAAAAGATGGTTATTGGGATCCGCTCTTTTCTAGCAATAATGGCCGATTTGGACCATGGGGGCCAAGAGCCACCACCGTTTCCGCAAGACTTTGCCGTTATGGATCAACCTTTTGCCACATCTTTTCCCTTTGCCGACCCGCGAGTACCACTGGACCATCTAAACCCGAACAAAAATGTCCTACATGAGACCGTTTTCCGTCCTGTAAATACCGCGAAGCTGAGTGAAAATTCCAGGAAATTTTACTACCGCTTCTGTGAAATATTAGGCAAGATCACCATCTTATGCGATAACACTTTTGGTGGCCAGGCAGCTTTGGATGAGAAGTTTGGTGGCGTCACTCCCAAAACCCCAATCACGGAAGCCTTCAGCTTTGGAAGAAGGGATGATCATTCGAACGGCCCTGATCAAAAACAAGCCTTTTATGATTTATTACATGTTGCTGTCCAAGCTCTCCCACGATGTCTTTGCGATCACATACCTTTCAATTCTTTGATAAATTTACTGTGCACAGGAACTGCTCATGTACAGTCTAATATTGCCACTTCTTCCGCCGAATCTCTCAAATCCATTGCTCGCCTGTCCCATGCCCAACATGTTGCAATTGGGTTCGCTCGATTTATATTCAATTTCGATGCAAGATACTCGACCATGTCTGACGAGGGGATGCTGGGTCCGGGCCACATCGAGTCCACCTTGAAATTGTATGTTGAGTTAATACAGATTTGGATTGGGGAAATTAGACAAAAGAGCAGAGATGCAACTTCGGAGCCGTCAGAGAATGGTGGAAGTGGAAGCAGGGGGCTTCAGCTGGATTTGTCAGCTGTCATGGCCCATGTAGAGGAGATCGAATCCCACGGGCTGTTCTTTTTGTGTTCGCAGTCGAGACGAGTTCGTGCGTTTGCGATCACTGTTCTGCGGCTTGTTACTGAGTTCGACAGCGCCCTGGGCAAGACTGGGAAGGATGTGCCCCGTATAATTCAGATTTTGGAAGACGCCTCGTATAACGTTCTAGATCTGAAGGATGAGCTGCTCACTGTTGCAGAAAGAAGCCGCCTTCAAAAAGGGAAACAGCAAAATGGGCCACAAAACACCCTCATAGAGATCTGCAGCAGCGAGGTTTCCTATGACTCTACCTTGTGGTCCAAGGTATTTCCGAATCTCATCCGGATCAGCTTTAGAACTTGCCCATTTGCTGTAACCTTGGGGCGAGAAATTGTCTGTGCTAGATTAGTTCAAATGCACAACAGCATCGCTGCTCTCGCTGAAAATTTTCAACCGGGACAGTATGGCTCTCTTGATATTGCCCATGGTCGACCGGTTCCCCGTAGCAGCAATTCGCCTGACATCTTGGTTGAGCAGTGGAAACTGTACTTGATAATGGCCTGCACTACCATCAACACAGCCGGAGCACAGTCTCAAAGCCAACTTGCCAATGCTCAGCATGCACGTAAAACCTCGAAGGCGGGCCAGCATCCCCAGGATAAAATCGGTTCTGCTAGAGCATTGTTTGCCACTGTTATTCCTCTTCTCTCCGCTGGCCCTGACTCGATTCGCAATGCCATTGTTGTCGCCCTTGGTTCTATCAACAAGAATCTATATCGAACACTGCTAGAATCGTTGCAGTATGCGGTTACTACATGCAATGAAGAGGCCCGAGTCCGAATTGGAACGCACAATAGGACCCCCAGTAGCCCCCGGCGAAACAGGAGAACTGACAGGCTGCGAACTGAAGTCACCAACGTCTACAAGGTAACATCTCACTTTTTGAAGGAGCCGGAGGTGTACAATGACGACTGGATCCTGAATAACCTCGTAACGTACACGAAAGATTTGCGGATATTTCTCAGTGACGTTGAGGTGCAAAATGACCTTGAGTTCCAAAGGCTCAGATTTCATTATTGCGGTCTATTGGAAGAGCTATTCGAGGGTATCAATAAATCCAAAGACCCCTCCCGCTGGATGCCGTTCGAGTCTAGGAAATCTGCATTTTCACTCATGGAAGATTGGTGTGGTTATTCTCCGAACCAGTCCCAACTTGCTGCCCGGGAAGAAAATATGAGGAAGCTTATGATTGCGCGGCAACGAGAAGCGTGGGAGGCTCGAAGTACTGCAGCATTGGAAATCGAGAAGCGGAATCTGCGGACGGCTGCGCTGAGTGCTATGGCTTCTCTGTGCGGTGGGCCTATCAAAATAACTACGGAGAGCAAAGCTACCCTCCAATTCGATATGCGTCGTATGCTTTCCTGGATTGATATTATTCTTAATACCGTGAGCGACAAACTGCACGCCATTGGCCGACGAGCTCTGAAGAACTTGATCGTCCATAATAAAGACCTTCCGTACCTATTAGAACAGTCGATCGAAATGTGCTATATCTCTGAAAGCCCGAAGGCATTAGAGAGCTACTTCGATGTCGTTGCACAGGTTCTGATGGAGCACACTGATTATCCATTCGCATTCTGGAGAATCCTCGGGGCTGTTCTTTTCGCCCTGGGAAACGCGAAGCGAGAAATCCGAATGAAATCTGCACGCTTGTTACGGACCCTTGAGGAACGGCAGCAGAAAAGCTCTAGGATTCAGGACTTCGACATTAGCATATCCGATAAGACAACCGCTGTCTACAAGCTAGCACAATTTGAAACTTCCAAACGGTTGGCGCAACAACACGCTGACCTAGCATTCACCATATTTTCCGAGTTTTCACTGCACTTCAAGAAAATCCAACCTGACACTCAACGGAACATGGTAGCAGCTATCCTTCCGTGGATTCAGGCAATAGAGCTCCAAGTGGACCCGAATGGCGGACCAACAGCCAAGTCATATATGCTCCTTGCCAATCTCTTCGAGATCACAATTCAATCTGGTAATGTTCTTCCTAACGAAGTCCAAGCCCTCTGGCAAGCACTTGCGACCGGGCCTCACGCGGGCAATGTGCAGCTGGTTCTCGACTTCATCATCCAGCTCTGTCTGGAGCGGAAGGAACAAAATTTCGTAGATTATGCGAAGCAGATCATAGTATTCCTGTCTACGACTTTGGCCGGTTCTAAAGTCATTGAGTTTTTTCTGATGCAAATCGTACCTAAGAATATGGTTCAAGAACGGAGAGATCCACTCCCTCCACCATCCGATTTGAAAAGCTTGCCCTATGTTGCCGACCTTGGGACTGTTTTGCCTGTTGGTAACAAGCAGGTAGGTTATTGTTAAAAAAGATCTTCATTGGGTATATTTGACGTCTAACAGATCTTGCAGGCTGGATTTTCCCTTGGTCAAGTTTCTCTCATTTTCCTGGTCGACTTGATGGTTTCGCCTGTTACACTTGGACTGGACAATGTTATCAAACTTCTCCATACTGCTCTTATTTTCTGGGACCATTACACTCTCACCGTTCAAGAGCAGGCCCGAGAGATGCTTGTCCATTTAATCCACGAACTTGTCGCCTCGAAAATCGGTGATTCCCCTGATGGCATGCGGACATCTATTGAGGATTTTGTTGAATGTATCCGACGGGGGGACACCGCTGTCGTTTGGGACTATGAAGACAATAATGGCGGCGAGGATGACCAAGACCCTAGCAGAGTTCCTGTGTCTATGCATCGGGTGACTCAAGATGTAGCGAATTTCTTCTCTACTGCCTACGAATCAGTGAACGATATATGGGCGAAGGAGGCGTTGAACTGGGCTACGTCCTGTCCTGTCCGTCATCTTGCATGTCGATCCTTTCAAGTGTTCAGATGCATCTCAACATCCCTTGACTCGAGAATGCTAGCGGATATGCTCGCGCGATTGTCTAATACCATTGCCGACGAGGAAACCGATTATCAAACCTTCTCGATGGAAATCTTGACCACGTTGAAAATTATCATCAATTCTCTTGCGCCGCAGGATTTGCTCCGTTACCCCCAACTCTTCTGGACAACGTGTGCGTGCCTTAACACGATTCACGAGCGCGAGTTCATGGAGAGTGTTGGCATGCTTGAAAAGTATCTGGATAAGGTGGATATGCGTGATCCGGCCGTTTTAACGAAACTCCGGGAGAGCAAGCCACCCAAGTGGGAAGGTGACTTTGAGGGAATACAGGTTCTGATATACAAGGGCTTGAAATCTGGTGAATCGCTAGACAAGACTCTGTCCGTTTTGCATCGGCTCACTGCCCTCCCCAATGACGAACTGGTGGGTGACAACAACCGACTACTCTTTGCAATATTGGCAAACCTCCCGGTCCTCCTTCACCAGTTTCATCTTCCAGAACGGCCGAAAGAAGTGGTAGAGCGCGCGAGGCTGCTTGCTTCAATTTCTGAGAACAACGGCTATACTCGCTTTTCTGACTGCTTATTCGGCTTCTCAAGCGGCCATTATAAGCTCAGTCAAGATTTTTTAGTGGACTCTGTCGAAGCTATTCGGTCCTACTACTTCCCTGAGCAGGAGGCGCAAACGCTTATTTTTCTCATTGGGTTACTTACGAACACGACGGCATGGTTTCGAATTATGACTATGAAGATACTGTGTACCATTATTTCTGAAATCGACATGCGTCGTCCTGAAGTCGCATGTTATGGACCGGATCTCATATCCCCGTTACTTCGACTACTTCACACTGATTTGTGTCCCCAGGCCCTGGAAGTGATGGACCACATAATGACCGTTTCCGGAAACCCAATGGAACGCCATCACCTGAGAATGAGTATGGCTTCCGCATGCTCATCTCGAGCCATCCGCAAGGAGTTTGAACGCATCCAAAGCCTGTATGGAATACCTGAACGAACTGGCTGGTCTATCCCGGTGCCCGCTGCCCAGTCTGCCCTGACGAGAAACAATGTTCATGCTGTTTTCTACACTTGTGCAGAAGCTGATGGATCAGAGCAAACTCCTGCATCCCCTGAAATGGAGTTCCACGTGGAGGAATACAACAATTTGTATTCCCCGGGTCTACGAGCTGACACGATGAAATCTTTCGACACACAGAATGACGGAAACATGGGAGACCTGCTGCAGAAACTGGACAGCCTTGATGACTTCTTCGACGAAACTGAGGCGATTCCGCGACCCCTGAATTCGATTTCAGGCACTACACTGCACAGTTTCGTAAGCGATTTCCACGACGCCAGCGCCAATCTCTATGATCAGCAAACCGCTCCCCTGCTACGAAAGTCCCTAGCTCGAACAGCTTCATCTTCGTCCTTCCAGAACGGCCTTGCTGAATCTAGACCAACAACCAGCCGCACTGAGGCAAATGGGATGCACTCGTCTCCTTTAGGTGTGAACCCCGGCCTGCCACCTTCCCGGACTTCAATGCACACACGATCTGTAACATCCCCCGCAAACGCCTATCCGTCCAGCAGCCAGTCATCGATGCCAATGTTCGGAAGTTCATCAGCAATCCCATTCCTATCCGACGACGAGCTGGAGGAAGCCCTCTCAGACTCCGACGATCGTTTAGTCCTCGGCCAACCAGCGTCCAACTCAACCACATCTCCCCGCCACGGCAATGAAGGCCCTTTTTCCCTCGAGTCCGTTATCCGCAGCAGCGTGCGTCGCTTGACTGGCGGCACATCCTCTTCCAGAGAGAAAGAACGCCAGAGGGACTTGTTGAGAGCTCAGCAACGTGCGTTTGTCCATACAACCAGCTCGCCACGCGTTCCGAGGGTCCCACAAGAATATCTTACAGGTCCATCGGGTGGTCTTCAGGGTGCCGCGGCAAGCGGTTCCAGCACTACCGGTGCCGCTTCGAGTGACCCTACTTCTCCAGGGCATTGAAGCAGCATCATGAAATCACATTACCTTAACTATATAATCTATTGCGTATCTATGATTCTTCTCTACCCCATCTTTGTCTGGCAAGATACCCTGATCTCT